TCCCTCTCTCTCCCTCTCCCTCTCTCTCTCCCTCTCCTTCTTCCTCTCCCCCTCCCCCTCCCTCTCCCTCTCCCTCTCTCTCCCATCCTCCCTCTCACCCTCACCCTCAATTTGTACATACCCCAGAGTCCACACCCCCAGGAAAAGAGTGTCCAGGAGTCATCGTGGCCCCACCATGAATGTCTAGGAGACCAGCCCTAGAGAGGGAGGGCGGGGGTGGAGGAATCCTGACAGGCCGGGGAGCTGGGATGCCTGGAGCAAGGCAGGGAGAACCAGCCCAGCAGAAATCAGAGCAGGAGGAGCTGTCCACGGTGTCTCCACTGAGCTCCACGACCTGGCAATGGGAGCCCCCAGAGCCGTCCTGCTCTGCCTCTATGGGTCTGTTCTCTGCCTGACAGGTAGCCAGACTGCTGAGTCCACTGACAAGAAGGGCCTGGTGGGCGCCTGAACTTCTGGGTCTGAGGGAGGAGGGGCTGGGGCCTGGACCCCTGGGTCTGAGGGAGGAGAGGCTGGGGGCCTGGACTCCTGGGTCTGAGGGAGGAGGGGCTGGGGGCCTGGACTCCTGGGTCTGAGGGAGGAGGGGGCTGGAGGCTTGGACTCCTGGGTCTGAGGGAGGAGAGGCTGGGGTCTGGACTCCTGGGTCTGAAGGAAGAGGGGACTGGAGGCCTGGACTCCTGGGTCTGAGGGAGGAGGGGCTGGGGGCCTGGACTCCTGGGTGTGAGGGAGGAGGGAAGGGCTGGGGACCTGGACTCCTAGGTCTTGGTCATGGAGAGGCCTGGAGACTGTGTCCTCTTCATTTCTCTTCCCCTCTCAGTCATTTTCCCCATCTGTCTTCCTGCCACTTCAGCCTTTCTCATCCTCCTTGCCCATGACCCCACTCCAGGCCACTCCGGGGAGCCGTGGGTGCTCTTTACAAAACTGTCAGGGAACCTTGGCCTCATCCTCAGGCAACCCCTTCCCCTAATTTGGGTAAGAACAGGGCCATACTCACTGGGACTGAAGTGGCTACAAAGACAAGGAGTTGGAGCGGTGGGAAGGAGGCTATGTCTGCACAGCTGATGTGGGTGTGCCCCTCCACGGGAGGCAGGCAGTGTGTGTGTCAGTGTGTCACCATGTCCCTGGGTCTCTGTGCTTGTGTGTGTTCCTCTGCGTCAGATTTTGATGCCTGGGTGTTTGAACAAATGCTTTTATGGTGTGTATATCTCTTACTTCACTTTTTAATGTATAATTTTGTGCATCCATGTCTCTCTTTGTATTTATGCAATCGGCAGGCCTGCATTTCTCTGTGTATATGTGTGTGTCGCTCTGTGTACCTCTGTCTCCTGACTCCATGTGTCTTGTACCTATGACTTTAAAGTGTACGCTTTCGTGGATCTTTTTCATGTACCTCTGACTACACATAATTGTGGTCTCTCTACTTATGTGTGACTTCCTGTGCTCCTGGGTTTCTGTGTGGGGTTATTGGTTCCATAGCCACACGTCTTTCTGTGTGTGAGTAGGATTTTGCGTGTGTGAGGTGTTATGCCTTGGCCTGGGTTGTTGTTTTGCGGGTGAATGGATGCCTTCAGGATACTCTGTGTCCGTCTGTGAGGTTTGCAAGAGCCCGTCAGTCTTGTTCCTTTGCGTCTGTGTCCGTGGTTAAGGGCTCTGTGTGCGTATCCTGGGGCTGGCTGTGGATGTGTCGTTCAAGGTCACACATCCTGCTGCTGGGCTGGCGCATCTGCTTTCCATCAGTGGCCTTTACGTGCAACTGACCATCACGAGTGCAGTTGGGAGAGGGACAGGCAGAGCAGGAATGAATCATCTCCTCCTATTTAAGTCTTAGCGAGGTTCCGGGGAGAGTCCAGACCTGGAACAGCCTGGCCGGGCGGGGGGACTGGACTGGCAGGTGCTGTCTCAGGCCTTTAGTCTGACTCTGGGTAGAACAGCCATGACCAGTGGTGACAGCAGACCCTGTCTCCCCTCAGAGAACGGCCTGAGGTGTGGCTGTCCGTGCAGGGTGGAGTCCGGATTGACCGGGACAGGCATCCCCGGCCTGCGCCTCTCACCCACCCCTGCTCCTCCCCTCAGTGTCCCAGGCCCTGCAATGCTACAGCTTTCAACACGTCTACTTCGGGCCCTTTGACCTCAGTGCCATGAAACTCGCCAACGTCTCCTGTCCCTATGGATGCTCTGAGGCTGTCTTGTCGCTGGACACTGGTGAGGGGCAAGGAAGTGGCAAAAAGAAAAAAAAAACTGCGCCTCTCACCCACCCCTGCTCCTCCCCTCAGTGTCCCAGGCCCTGCAATGCTACAGCTTTCAACACGTCTACTTCGGGCCCTTTGACCTCAGTGCCATGAAACTCGCCAACGTCTCCTGTCCCTATGGATGCTCTGAGGCTGTCTTGTCGCTGGACACTGGTGAGGGGCAAGGAAGTGGCAAAAAGAAAAAAAAAAGAGAGAAGGGTGTGCAGAAGAGAAAGGGGTGGGTGGGGGGTCAGGACAAGGGTGAGAGATTAGGGAGGGAGGGGAGGAGCCGAAGGGTTGGAGGAATTGCGTGGAAGAAAAGGGGCGGGATCAGGAAGGAGTGGGAGGTGGAGGAAAGGGAGGAGATGAGAGGCGTGGATGAGGGCGTCGGTGGGGGAAGGAGGAGGGGGCAACAGGGAGCCAGAAGGAGGAGGTGGGAGGAGAGGGGCGGGAAGGAGGCGGAGGGGAGGGAGAGCAGACCCGGGGAGGAGAGGGTTGGTGAGGACAGGAGAGGGGAAGGGCTAGGGGAGGAGGCGGCCGGAGAAGTGGAGTTTGAACGGGAGAGAGGGGGGGATGGAAGGGCAGGAGGAGAAGGAAGGTGAGAGGGAGGAGAGGAGGGGGAGACTTGAGGCTGGAGGGGGACAGGTGGAGAGCGGAGGGAGAGGAAGAGGAGGGGGCGGGGAAGAAGCGGCGCACCGACCCCTCCCGCCCGCAGGGTACCGCTCCTCGGTGACCCTGGTGCAGAAGGGCTGCTGGACCGGCCCGTCCGTGGGCGAGATGCAGTCCAGCGAGGACGCGCTGCCGCCCGACTACTCGGTGATTCGCGGCTGCCAGACCGACTGGTGCAACGCTGAGCTCATGAGCGA